TGGTAGGATACAACAATGATTTTTTGGGCTACAACACATTGTGCACTTCCACAATCAGGTTTTCATAACTCGTCTATTTGTTAACTATAAAAAAAATTACGAATAATCGTCTATAAATGAAACAAGTTCACTGCGATTTTTTTTCGTGATTAAATTAAAATAAACTTCTTCTTAATTAAGTAAAAAAATTCAAAATATACGGGGTAAAAATATACCTAATTGGCTTTTTACTAATTATATTGTTAACACAAAAGTAGTTTCGAATATATCTTATTTGACATTTTTCTAGTAGAAACAAAAAAAGAAAGAGGAACTAATTTAATACACTCTTCAAATATTTATTTAATAAAGACGTGTGCTTCAATCATTAAATCATTTCAGAACAAAATAAAAATTGATCATTTGTCTGGTATATTAAACAACACTTTTCAAATCAATGTTGGATGATTCCAATCTAACTGACAACGCTAATAAGAATGTTGATAAAATTATCATATTGTTGAAATTTATTTTTAAAATAATTGTCTTCTTAGTCTACGTTTAAAGCATAATCTCTTATTATTCATTACTAATACAAATAAATATATATACAATTAAAGGGCTTGCAGAAACAACCAGATAAATTCACTTTTTTACGGAAATTTATAAAAGAAATTATTCTTGAAATTCAGACGCAACAACTAGTTAAATCCGATCAATAGTGATGGAGTTATTAATGAAATGGACTTATCTTGTTTTGTAATTTGCTGCAACAACCAGATAAATCTGTATTTATCTGTCATTTTTAGAAACTTAAGTTGTTATTTAGTATTTATATATAATCATAGCATTAAAAATCCAAATACATTTAAGAATAAAATTGACTTCATTTGAATACTAATAAAAAATAAAATTTTTTTCAGTGCAACAACCAGATAAATCCATGCTCCCTTCAACTTTGACTAACAATATTTCAATATTAATATATTTTTTTTTAAATCTAACTTCAAATATGTATGTAAAAATGAGTGTAGAATTCAAATACACTTTGTTGACACTATTTTAGTACAAATAATAGTTTTTAATCAAAATTTATATTGTCCTGAAAATTTTCAAAAAGTGTATTTATCTGGTTGTTGCAGCAAGCCCTTCAATTTATTTATTAATTTTTTCAACATTTATAGCATTTTTTTTTACTAAAAAATATGATGGATGATATGTCTACAGACTTTCAAATCCATAATAATTTAAATTTTTTAAATAAAACCGTATATTGGAAAAAAAACATAACTGTTCACATTTTCAAAATGTTTTTTATTTTTTTTATTGTTTAGATAAGTGAAAAAAGAACAACGCAAAAACTACTCTCATTGATCGAATTCTTTCAATTTAATGCGTCGCGAAAAGACGTAAAGTTAGTTAAGGTTTACCATAACGTTATGATAAGTTCCAGAATTATGATTCATTGAATATTTTTTATAATAATAAAAAATACATGATAATAATTTCATAATATTAATTTTTTATTTTAATAAAACAAAATTAATTTTTTTTAGAAATTAGATTTAAAAAAAAATTTTTAAATTGTATTAATTTTGTAAGTAATTGAGTGGGTTATAAATTCTGAATATGCAATGGTCGCAATTATCTAGTAAATAAGCTAATATTTTTTTTAACTGTTCAACTAGATAAATATTTTTCTAATAAACTTCTTGACTTAACTATTTTATTTTTCCGTTGAATTAACTTACCATTTTTCAGTTAATTAGTTAAAATAAAAGTGAAGCTAAATTCAAATTTTCATAATAAATATATGCATGTATACGCTACACGTACATGTTTCAATTAAAAAAAAAAAAAAAGTATTCAATCCCACCTTAAATATTATACAATTATTTTATTATATTGTATTATTTTATAATAATAAATATTGACAAATAATTAAATATTTAACCTTTTTGTGGCATGAGTTTAAGTCGATCAATCATGACTAAATTTTTTTCATCTTTTATATGTAGTAGAATAAATTTGGGGGGTCTGTGCATCAAATTTTGAAACTTCAAATTTAGGCCCTAATATCTTATTTCGAGGTTTAATTAATTAAATCTAATTTATTTATCATCAGCTTAAATATAATATAAACATATTATATTATAATAAAGTTATATATATTATTGTACATAGTATATTATAATATTAGGCGGTTTACCTAATCCAGTTGATTTTGAGTTTTGTCTTGGTGTGTAGACACGGTGATTTGATTATGATGTACCGGGTAGGTTTTTGTCCTCATTGGACTATAAATAGCTTTTAGAGAGGATGTTATAAACGATAAATTTAAATTTAATTAATAAGTAGAAAAATTAAATGAAAACTTTTTTAAGTTTATTAACTAATTATTATATTATATTTAAAATTTTATTCTTTAGTCCTTAATGGTAGATATGCTGGAGTATATTTTTTTCTTGGACCTCTATTTTGGTGGTTCAATTTAAAAAAAAATGGAATTTACTCCCACCCTAAATATTATATAATTTATTTATTATGTTGTAATATTTTATAATATTACATGTAATTTTTTGAATATTTCAGTGCAAATTTTTGTACTGTGAAGGTTAAGTGTACTAGAGTTATTCATTGTATATTAAGAAAACCAGAAAAAAACGATTTTTATCTGATTTTTTTTTAATAACAAGTTTTAAAGATAGAACAGCGCAACCAACACCAAAATGTACAAAATGAATAAAAATATTTTTGTTATTATTAATATTTTCTTCCTACTTAGTTGGAAATCGATTCTTAGCTTTCCTTTATATCAACAACCAATAAGAAATAATTTTTAAATATTTGAGCCAAAAAATTATTTTAATTGACAAACTTTTCTAATCTAGTTAAGTGAAAAAAAATTTAAAGTTATCTTTTTTAATTTAGCTAGTTAAATATATAATTTGGTAACTTTTAACTATTAATTTATCGACATTGTACATATTTCACAAAACTCGAGTTAATTATTTCCATTAACTTGCCCATCTTTGAATATATGTATAAAACACATTGTCTTTGATTTAAAAATAACACGTCTCTAATTTTGTTTTGTAAATTATGACGTTTTAGCATCATTAAATTTATATTCCCAAAAAATTTTTTGTATATATATAGGTTATTTTGATATTTTTTGATTTATTTCCCTCTAAAGTACTCATTTAGTTACAGTACATATGCTTTTTAATTCAATGATGACAATTTTTTTAATAATATGTAATATATAACAGGTAATAACAAAATATGTATTACATAAATGGATGACTGATTAATGATTATTCATAGAACTTCTGTATTTATCACATTTAGCTAGCAAATTATTTACTATCAAGGTTTTAGTTATTGTTATAGGTTTTATAATTAAAGGTATTAAATCAATTTTTATATTCTGATATGAAATCGAATCATTTTGGTTAATAGGTATATTATATTTAAGCCAATCCAATCAACATTCACATATATCTAATAAATTAAGTTTAAATTGTTTTTTAATTCACCATTTATTTTGAATTTAACCAAAATTTGAGTTTTTTATTTCAATAACTATACTATCTTGATTTTTCAAAATTAAATAATTAATGTAAGATTTAACTACTAAAAACCCATATAAATGAAACTATTTATACTGGTTTCACGATATATTTTAATCTATATTTGATTAAATTTAAAAAAAGGTAATAATCACTTTGAAAATGTATTACGGTATACTTGTAAATGTGTGAATAATCTAATTATCTAGTAGATAGCTGGACTATTTACACATTGCTAGTTGTTACAATTTATACTACTAGTTGTTATTATGTAAGCAGAAAAAAAACAATTTTTTTTTTTGAGGATTTTTCTTACACAAAATTTTAACATCTAATTATGTTAGATGTTAAAATCCTTTAACATCTAAAAAAAAAAATTCCTTATAATTTAGTTCATTAATGACTTGAAATAAGGCCTATCGAACAAAGTGTCAAATTAATCAGCAAATAAACGCGTCATGGTTAATTTAATACAGCAAACCTTATACTTCCCTAGACAGCACTTTTTGTTAGTTAAGACCTATCCCAACACAAAATTAAAAACACTTATAATAAAAACATAGTTCTGGTGCTTTTGTTAATATTTTATTAAACATTCTGTTTAGTTTATGATTATACGCAAAATATTTAATTTTATCACTTATAAACAAGTTTAAACTAAAAATAAAAATAAACTAATTGTATAGCAACTATTTACCTTTTTTTTTTAGAAAATAGTGTATTTTAACTAATTTAGGGTATTTCTATAAATACTCCTTCAATTTTCTAACATTTTTAAATATATGTAATCATAGACATAAGATTTTTTTTCTGAAGAGGGGGGCTAAATTAAAATTTTCTCCCTACAAATTATAATTTCAAAACAACAATGCCATAGCCTTCTCACTCGGTTACTGATTGATGTATTTTATTCATAACCTACTACATTATATAATTTAAAAAATGTTGGCATTAAAATATCTAAAATTAGAAATTATGTATTTTGATCCATTTAACATAGACATTATTCATTAAACATGAAATAAACGAATAAAACATTTTTTTCAGGTTTCTTACATCTCTAGTTGTGATACAACTATTGATTTTTATTTTTAGTTAAAGACTATATTTGAGTTAATTAATAAATGTAAAAAATTATAGCAATTATAGTATTAACTAGGTAGTGTCGGCGCTAGGTTTTGTGCATATCATATTTGCTGGATCCCTGTTTTAAAAGAAAACAGTCAAATGGAATAAATCCATTAGCAAAAATTAGTGCGAAGTCCTAAACATATGTCCCATTTGACCAACTCTATCCTTGGTACTGAAGCTAGGATGTTTAAATATTTCATGGTCTCTATTATTTATTGAAATTTTTTTTTAGCTATTTTCTAATTCCAACCCCCTTTTTTTTAGCTTTTATAACAGGCAAAAGTTTTATTAGATTTATGTGAATGATTTACAAATGTATTCGAATTCAAAACTGATTATTTTTATTGGAAGTATATTGCAATGTTAAATTTATTTACGAGATATTATATATAATTTTTGTTATAGTCAATTTTTAATTTAGAGCGGTAACTTAGTAATACTTACGTGAACATATTAGCATATATTTTAGCTTTGGTAAAAATTAACCTTAAAATCAAAATGTTGTAGTCAAACCTAGTATTAAAACGAAATTATTAATTATTATCATTAAACAAACTTAGGTAAAATCAGGATTTTTTAAATCTTGTATTTTATTTGAAACTTGCTTTTTTTAATTCTTTTAGCTGCTTGGACCGTATGAAGGTGTTTGCCTCAGATTTCAAGGAGAACTTCAATCCACCAACTAGAAAATAACTTAGTAAAAAAGAAACAGAAGAAAAACTTGTTATAAAAACATAATTTTTAATTCATAATAGTGAAACTAGTCATTTACGGATATACATAAATTTTTTATTGTAACTTTATGATCTAATACTTTACAAAAAAAAAAATTTATATAAAATCTTTAAATCCACAATTAAAAGATGTAGCAACCATGCGTAAGTTCAATAGGGTAAATTCCTATAAAACCCCCAAAAAATACATAAAATGATATAAATGTATATTTGGGACTGGTTGAAATTTATTTAGCCTCAATATTTTTTTTCAGAAATATTTATTGAGTTGGCTTATAGTCTCAAAATCAGTAGTTATAGAGAAAATTATCATTTTTTTATTGTTTTAGTTTCGATGCAAAAGCTGAGAAGGTATTAATTTTTCTATTATGTGTTATTTATTTATTTATTTTTTTGTCTGTTAAATTTTTTTTCAGTTCTCACTCGGAGGTCAAAACTTTAAGTAACCTATAGAAAATAAAACTTTTTCAAACTTAACTTTTGAAAATAATTCGGAAATACTGACAATGTTATATATCATAAATTAAAGATTATGTAATATAATTTAATTTGAAAAAATAAATTGTCCTTATGGCTTATCATTATAGTAAAAATAGACATCAAAGTTAAAGAAAAAATTACGATTTTTGTGTAAAAATTCTCGATCATATATATATATCACTTAATGATCACTTAATTATATATACCATATATATATATATATATAAATATATGGTATATAATATGGTATATATATATAAATTTTATATTTTAGACTTTATATTACTGTAACAATTTAAAAAATTATAAATTAATACAATTATAAAAAAATTAAATTTATTATTATTAAGTAAAATTAAAACTATATTAAAAATATTATTAATTTAAAAACTAAAAAATATTAAAACTATTAAACTCAAAAAGTCACAAAAAATTACTGAAAAGTTGCGGATACGAACACATACTTTAGAGTATGTGATTAGCGTTGATAATAGTAATTTTTTGTGGCTTTTTGAGTTTAATGTTTTTAATATTTTTTAGTTTTTAAATTAATAATATTTTTAATATAGTTTTAATTTTACTTAATTGATTAGCCACAAGTGATCAATTTTTATTATATTATTATTATTTTGTACGATTTCAAATATCATGAAAAAGGAATTGGCTTGCGATAACTCATCAAAATCTAATTTAAAACTTTCTTTGTGCACATTTTTTTTTCGATTTTACGCTGTTATTACTAATTGAGAAATGTACAACTAGGTGATACATGTGGAGACTACAATTATTATATCACCTATTTACATAAGAATTATACGAATTTAACTTATATTAAATATGAAGTTAAACTTATTTTAATTTTTTTGTCTTTAGGAAGTCGAAAAAACCGACTTTAAAATTTTGAACTAGCTCTAATTGCCTATTTTTTTATATACCAACAAATTTGATGTACGATTCCCGAGCCAATCAAAATAGATTTGTTTCATATTAAAATTTTGTTTTATATTGACAGTTATAAAGATTAACTTTAGAATTAATTATAAAAAAAACAATAGCACAGTGAAGAAGCAGCAAATTAGATAAGTATATATCGGTGTCGATGAGTTCATTCCCAAGACTTATTAAAATTAAAATTTATGTAAATTTTTTTTTTGCCAACTGGCGAATTAAATGATGTACGAGTTGATTCCGAGATAATTAAAGATTATGTATTAATTGATTTTCTCATTGTTATATTAGTATAAAAATAATATCTTATTACGAATATCTCAGATAATATTTAATACTCTATAACATAAGTTGTGCATCAAACAGGTCTTCAATACCGTTGTAACCGTTACATATTACATTTAATACATTTATTATATAACAAAGGTTTTTATCAATGGAATTTAATTTAAGTGAAAAATCTAAATTTTTAATTCTGATGGATAACCTTAATAATTATGTTGACAATAATTAACTAAATTTTATGTTAATTTATCTTGAATATTTTAATTTCAAGATAACATAAGAATATTATAAGTACTGATATCGTGCGAGTATATATTATATATATGTTTAAGTATATATATATATCTCATACATACAAATATGTCTTTTTTTTCTTTAATTAGACTAATAGATCTCTACAACATTTGCGTAAACGTCTCAGAGGATTATCAGGAATAATTTTTGACAAAAGACCTTTTACCAGGGGATTTGAGTGAGAGGCTAATTGTGAGTGGAATTTTTTATAATAAGTGATTGCTTCATCTTTCACAGTTTTAATTTTCAGGTCAGTTGGATGACAGTGTGTAGTTGGAAACGTATGGAGGGAAATTAGTTAGTTTTTAAAGGGTCATATTTTGAAAAGTTTGTATTTTATTTAAATTAATTTTTTTGGCATTATCCCATAATTAGATGCCATAGGTCCAAATTGGTTTAATTAGGGATTTGTACATTAATAGTTTTGTTTCTAAGTATGTGTATTTATTATTAATTATTAAAGTTTTAAGCATATGGAGTCTGAAGTTTAATTGAAGTCTTTTTTCACAAGTGTGATAGGCCTATATAAGTTGGCGGTCGAGGGTTAAGCCAACATATTTTACTGATGAAGTTTAGGGAATTTGATTGCCATAGAAAGTAATACTTGGACATTTTTCAAGCCTAAGAGTAAAGATTTTGTGAGCTGATTTAGCCTAATTGACCTTATACCTCCAATTCTTATACCAGACTTCCAATAATAAAAGGTGATTTTGTAAATTATACGAGGCTATAATAGAATCTTAATTTGTTAATATTATTACTTTATCATCTGCATAATCTGTCACAGAGGTGTTAGGCGTAGTTGGTTGGTCTGAAGCGAATATATACCTCCTTGTGGTACGCCGGCTCTAATATTTACTATGTCGGAATAAGAGGATTTATAATGAATATAAAAATGCTGATCGGTTAGATATGATTTTAGAAGTAAGTAATAAATAGGAGGCAAACATTTCTTTAATTTGTATAACAGTCCTTTATTCCATACACGATCGAAAACCTGTAAAATTGTATTTTCATTAATAAAAGGAAGCATGCGCTTAGGTATGAGCTTTTAGTTAGCTTAAAGTTGAAAAAACTAGTCATTTTCTTAGTTTGATAATTTTATTATTTATAAGCCACTTAAAAATACATTTTTCCATTTAAAAACAAATATTATCACAATTTTTTTTGAAAATCATAGGATAGAGGAACTTATCAAATTAAAAAAATATTAACATGTTTTATACTATTAAAAATAATACTAAGTCATAGTAAAACAATCATCCTATATAAGAGTTCATAAAAACACAAGGCAAAACTCTAAAAAGTCTATTTGAACATATTTGAATACTTTTATTTTAAATTTAGGACGGTATTATCTGAACCGTCCTAAAAGTAACGGGTGGAGTATCTTTGGCAAAATTGTTTTTGTCTGTATTTTTTTAATATATGAGGGTGCTACCAAAAAATAATTATTAAAAAAATTCGCATAATTTTAAAAAAATTATTCAATCTGACAAAATAAATTATTCTCCATATTATTAGATTTGGAACGGCTCTAGGTATAATTAATATATTTATTAAGCTATTCAAATAAATAATGTTTAACTATTACTTATTCTAGACAAATTTTTGTCTTAGAAAACAAAACTTGAAGTATTTTAAATTTGATTTATTTGTGTGAACCATTTATATCATTTTTATACCATTTAAAGTAGAATGAACTAAATAAAATTTTGATTGGTCGATAACTATTGGTTTTGTAATATTGTTTTTTGTGTTAATATAACTTTTACGTAGAAGCGAGAGATGTTCAAAATAGTCGAATTCTTATCTGTGCGTTATGCGTATCGTTTCATTTCGAAATCTTTGAATGCTAATATCTTAAAATTCCATTTTAACTTTCATAAATTAACCCTAAAATTTACCTATAGAAAAACTCTTTTTTGTAATAAACTTCATATTTAACACAGTTCACAAAAATAAATAACTTTTTTTTGGTATTTTTTTATGAAAAAAATATTATCTAACAAAAAATATTGAAAACAGTATTTTTAATAAATCACAGTGTGTAACGTGGGTGGGTACAGCTCATACATATGTATGGGCACTCCACTTACGCTATATACTTTATGTATTAAAATGTATGCAACTCATTAAATACTTATATTAAAGTAATTATTGACCTATCAAATATGTTTGTATGAAAAAAAGGCTGTTTTAAAATTTTAAACCATTTTATAACTTTATTTTTTACTTAAAAAATTGTATTATTGACACTTTTACCATTAGTAAATTCTCAACTGTCTGGTTATAAAAATATTTTATATCCTGAGTAAATAATTAGTATTTTAGTGTGTAACTAAAATAAGTAAAAAAAATTATTTCCGAAATTTTTATAAAGTAAATAATTGTGAAAAGTGTGTTATGATTAAGGTCCGGAATTATATGCATTTATTGATTTTGTTAAGTTATTCCAAACACACCATCAGTTAGTACAATTTTTTTATTGATTAACTTGAAAATATAGTAATGTGTTGTTACCAAGGTCATAGTTTATAGGAGGGTTTCTTAGAAAAATATTTCTACATTACGACAGAGTTGCACAAAATTGGAACCATCCAAAGAAGTCCAAACAAAATTTATAATTGCATATCATACCGTCTCATAGTTATGTTAAACAGATCACCTTGTGTGTATAATTAACATATACGAAAATATTAATATTATATTTTTATTTCAACCAGTTATGATACTATGACTAATCGCTAAAAGAAAAAAATTCAATACTATTGAATTTACTGAACAGTATGTTAATTATCTAATAAAATCAAACTTTTTTTTTAAGAAATAACCAAGAAATATGTGTATTATTTTTTTTTTTTTTTTGAAAATTATGTAACTTTTTTAAATACGATTCGATTCAATAGAAGAAGAATACTAATTATACATATATATAATAACTATTATATTTATTTAAAGGATTTCGTTATATTATGCGTTAATTTTGATATTTAAATAGTATGCAGTTATTTAAAAATGAAAACTTTTTACTTATAAGTAAATGATCTGTAAATTCATATATTATTAAAAATTAATTTTGATCTCATTCATACATCATAAAATATTTTAAATAAAGTGTTATTTTCAATATAATGGCTCAATCATAGTCAATTTTCATTTTTTAAAAGCAATTAAAAAGCTTTTAAAGCTCTTAAAAAATTCTATTCATTCTCATCTAGGAACAATATGAAAAAGAGTATAAAATTTGATTTTTAAGTTAGAAATATTGTATATTTTTACGTTTTTTAATTATTTAAAAGTACATTTAAATAGTTGCCGTACAAAATTTATTTGGGAAAAATTCATACATTTTTGACATGACTTGGAAGTATAGGTAAAAATTATCATGTTTTGCCATCTCTACGTGGGTTGCATTGTATATCACATATTATGAATATAAAAAATCACTAAAACCGGGTTCCCAAACTTTAAAACATAAAATAATAAGTTGAAAATGAGACAAAATCTATTTAATCGTACAGATTAAAAAAAGCTTTAAAGATCACATTAGGGATTGATAGATTTTTTTCCTCTGATTAAAAATAATATAGTGATAAAAATGTTATATTTATGTACGAATTTTTGATACTTTATCATAAAAATAACACTATTTGTGTATATAATTAATGTGTATATTAAAAATACTGATTTGATTTGATAATTTCTTTGAGTGTAATCTTTTTTCAATTTAAGTACTAGTTAGAAATTTAAGTGTTTTGGTAAATATTTTAACTTTAAAATTTGTTCATTATATACTAATATTCTATTTTTCTTTAAGTGAATTTAAATTAAATATGTTTAACAATAAATATATTTTTTAAATTATTTAATTTTAATTACAAACATAACCTAACTTTAAATATTTATTCAATAATAAAAATCTATTGTGATTATTTCTTATTGAGTAGCTAGAGTCAAGCTTAATATAGTTTTCTAACGAATATCGAGCCGGCAGACAAAAATGAAGAAACTTACGGAGATCATTTTTAGTGTTGCAATTTTGTCTTGGTGATTATTGTGCTGCATCCTTCATTCCCTTACATCTCTGATAAATATGGTGCTGATGATTACTTAAGCATCAAAAATTAAAATTTGGACAATTTTGCTTTCATGAAAAACTAAAAATACTTGATTCTTTAACATTTTGAACGTGCGTTGAGGTCAAATACATTAGTATGACGCATGCAATGTTGTAAACAGAGCCTCCGACGCATCACTGTTAAAGTCTAATCTGAGTAGTCCTTGAATGTTCCAAATACAAATAACTTGTTTATATGCTTTATTATTGTTTTATTTATGATTATATTTCTCTACGATGTAAATATTATTGTAATGGCTTGAAAAATCTTCATAAAATCTAGATAGATCTATCATTAGAACGATTCTATATACTTGACATTCTAAACACATTTCTACAATTCTATTATAATGCAATAGCGATAAGCAAATATTTTTTTTCTGTTTTGTTTATAAGGAAATAAACAAGTATACCTAACAATAAATCAAATAAATTTAGTTAAAAATATATTTTGTTAAACTTTTAAAAATTCATAGCCAAATTATAATTTTAATTTATGAACTTCTTTTTAATATTATATTATTAATATACATTTATTTATATGAATAATAATTTTATATGACAAAAAACGTTTAATGTATAAAATGTTAAACTACTCTAAATTCTATACAAATATTTGATAATTTTGTCTTTTTTATGTATCAACTCTTGAACACCTATTTCAAATGTTAAATAGGTATTTGAGTGATTTTCACATATACAATACAGCAGACTGAATGAGAAGTACAAGAAAATGATTAATTTGTATAATAGGTAAAAGGATTAAATATCATAAAATAAGTAACTGAGAGAACAATAAAATGAGATTGACATTTAAAGCGGAAGAAAAAAATCAAATTAATAAATGTATGGTTGTAAATCATAATTAGTTTTTTTAGACAGTTGAGTTAATTTTGTCCAATAAATGGAACAAATCAATGTAACCTGTACAATTGAAACTGAAATAATTTATAAGGTATTTCGTTTATTATGAACCAGTCAATTTACTTAATAATTCTTAATGGTAACATATTAGTATCATATACAGAGTGTTCAGTAAGTTAGGAAACAGTTAAATTGTTACAAACAATGAGTACAATAGAAATTCGTTTCCTTATTTACTGAACACCCTGTATGTTGTTAAATGAAACATTAAAATGTATGGCTTTAAAAAGCATAAAGGATGTATTTAGAAAATACTTAGTGATAGATAAATTGAGGATTAAAAATCTCGATAAAGCCAAAAAATTCTCAAAATTATTTTAATTAATAACAATTAAAAATTAATTCTTGAAAAGGGTTACTCTGTATACTCAAAAATGTTAGTGGTAAAATATTTAGTGATGTACAGTAGTGTGCCCAGTAATTTAAAATTATGGGAATTTTATCAAAATATACTACTCCTATGAAATTTTTTATTATTCGTCGATTTTTTTCAAGTATGCTTACTATTTGATTTTTGCATCTTAATTAATACCACCATAAATATCACGTTTTAATGAAAAAAAAAAAATATAGGTTATTTTATATTTTTATATGTAAAACAATTAACAAACAGAATTATAAATAGACTTTAAAATTTATTATTATTATAATTAGTGTAATTCTAATTATCTTCCATAGATAATAAGGATATGGCATCAATGGTTTAAAATACTGGGTTTCTACCAGGCCAATTATGTATTTAGCCATTCTATCTACATCGTGTATAAAATTAGTTTCATTTATACATATTATTATTGACCATTAATTGTAAGTGTGACCATATGATAAAAAAAAAAAACTAAAATATAACAGCTATAAAGTCAGATATTATTTTGAGTGGTGTTGATCCCATGGATCAACTTATACTCCATAATGCATCTATCCCATTTAGTAAGTGTCTGTATATGTATAATGATTACAATATTGTATTATATTATTATATAACTAACGAATATATTAAATATTTTTTAGAGATTGTTAAAAAAAATAGAATATTATCAATATATAATTACGACCAATTAAAAACAATTATTTAAGATAAGTGTTATTATTTAAATTATTTTGGAATAAATTGAATAGATACTGTTTTACAAATTGATCATATTCATTAATAATTTAACAATAAAATGCTTTAATTACATTCTGTCAGTGGGTGTTCAATACAACTTCAATCAAACCATAGACTTTATTTGTCTAAATACTACTGTTTATAAACACAATTTATGTATAAACAAAAGAACTCGATTAAGCCTTGTAAATCTCACAAGGCTACCTTCAGCAATAATGTATGAAAAACACATTTTTTACTGAAATCTTTGTTGATATAAACATTATTATGTTTAATATTATTTACGGTATGAACATCATTATGATGAAATAAATCTTTTACGATTAGTTTTTAAATGATATGTCAAGTAATAAAATATATAGTTATTTTATTTTGTATAGAGTAAAACTCTTATAAATTTTTTTTTCAAGAGTCTTATAAATTTGTATGATATAATCAAAAACTATTAACTTCTCAATTCTTAACTCTGACAGAACTAATTATATAGCATGCATCCTAAAACCACAAACTCATAAAAATAACCTATTATAGTTTCTTAATACCTTTAATTAATCTCATTTTAACTAGATATCAATGGTTTTTGTATGTACTTTTAATAACTCAGAGGCATTGCTCTAAGATATTTTGAGGTTAAAATAATTCATTGGCCTTTTTTTTAATTCAAGGTTAATTCTAATGGAATTAGATATAACTTTTTTACAAGACGGTGGTGTGTAAAGTTGTAGTTGTTTATCTGTTCGTTATGTTAAAAATAAAACGTTTTTAAACACTTCCCGCTCATCGTCTAAATATTTAAATGCTATAGTAAAAATACTAAAATCTCAATAATGATATTACAAAAATGATCATCCACTTGTCACCATTTTATTTAGTTCACTTTCCACCTAGTTGTTTAAAAACAATATTACTTCTAAAAACTACCCTTAGAAATCATTTTTTCTTACAATAAACCTAATATTTACTATAGTTAATAGAAAAAAATCAATCTCAATGAATAAATTTTTTATTTGCATATTTATAATAAGAAATATATCATAAATACTTTTTTTTAACGAAAATGTCCGAGATAATATTTTTGATAAATTACACTGTATAGATCTAAATTAATAATAAGTATTTCCCCAATTTGAGTATAATTAATAAATACTTTATAATTTAATACATTGTTCACAACTAATTTCAAATCAAATCTTAGTGAAGTACAAGTATCAATATTATAATATTAAAGAATTATATTTTAATACAAAATTAGAAAAGAAAAAACATGTTTCATATAATTCAAAATCATATAATTACTATTATATTCATATTTTATTACTTAATAAATGTTCTAGTGTAATGTCTCTCTGAGTTCATGTCAAAATGTAAGACCATTTTAGCAAAACATTACGTGTGAACATGAAAAACGAAATTTCTTCCTTACGCTATTTAATTGATAGAAGAACAAATATAATTTTATTAAATAAAATAAAAATGTTATATTAATTAATTAAAACATGTGAAACATCAAAGCAAACTAAGATCATTCTTAACTTAAAGATCATTTTTGTAACTGTTATTATTTGACTTTTTTAATATTTTAAATTACACGGAAAACATCTTGAAAAATGTAATCAAATAGTTGCTATCTATGATATAAACAAAATATTGTCCAAACATGGTAAGTAAATAACACAAAAAATGTGTGCTATTTTTACAAAATAATTTTATTAAGTTTGCTTACATAGTCGTTATTAAGTAGTTAAAATGTAGTTATTGAGCATGAGGTAATTATTTTAAAAAAATTGTATAATAATATCAAACAATTTATTTTTTAAAAACCAATTAGAATAATTATAAAAATACTCAAAATTAGTTATCATAACTAATTTTGATAACATTATAAAAACTAATTTTCTTAGAAAATCATTATATATATTTCATTAAGGAATTGGGTGAAATTTAATTTTAGACGATATTAATAATTTGTGTGAATAATCTCACTTATGGGTATGGATAATGATGTGCATGATTTTTAAATTTATATATTGTAATAAAAAATGACAAATTTATACTAATAAAATTAGCAAATTAAAAAATAACTAACCAGTTACAATTTTTTACTTTTAATCATTTTTCTCTTAAGCCAAAAATGTACTTAATAAAAATAAAAACTATAAGTAAATAAAAAAAATAGTTTAAGACTTTTAGTATTAATGTATCCCTTATAGTCTCCTATAACTTGATCCTGTGACTAACCCTCTCCTTTAGTTATGTCTTGATTCTGTATCGAAGTTGCTAAAATTCAGTATTTTAATAATAGAATAATTTTTGTATAATAATTTCAAATAACTATAGTTATTTCGATTTTTGTGATAATAGTTTTTATAAAACATTAATCATAAAATTAATCTTCAACCACTTTCCATAATTCATTTACATGAAAATAAAAACTGGATTGATGTCCAGTATAATACCATATACCACGATCGTGTATAGAATATATTTACTAACTTAATATTATTGAAAACATTTTAGACAATTTTTAAATCCTAAGTTGTTGTACTAATACAACATTATTAGCAAAAAGTTTCTCGGTAAACAAAGAAAAATCAAAGTATTCTATGCCTTATAAATGATATACCTCAATAATAAGTTTCGTTATAGCGCTGTATTTCAATTTTTTTTGTAATAGTATATAATTATAAAAACTGTCGTGAAAAATAAATAGACAACTGTTACTTATTTAAATACTCATTTGTATATATCAAATTTTTATTGTAGTTTTTACGTAGGAAAAATATAATTAATGTTGCATAAGTTATTATGCGTTTTTATATGTCTTAAGGTCATACTGGTTATAAAATTGTTATTCTTAAAAAAAAATTTTTATGAAGAAAATAAAAAATAATAATTTCAACAAAAAAAAATCTTAACGAGTTAAGCAATAAATGATTATTTTGACATCTAAACACAAATAATCAACTATAAATATCAAATATAACTATTTTTTATATAATTATGCTTTGACGGTGATAATCGAATGATGATTTTTAATACTTTTAAGATTTCGAAGTGGTTAATTTATATCGAATTCTATTAATCCTACATTATCTCTTTTTACGGGCTGGGCGGTTGCGGAATTCTCTGAGAGGAAGTTTCTTAACCTCTTGGGGGTGGGTGATCAGCCCATCGCCAGCGAAAGGAATGACAACTCCATTCACTAAACTGATATTTCATTCAGCAAATGAAGCCACACGTGACCGAGTGTCGAACCCAAGACAATGCGCATCAGACACTACCGCGTTACCGACTTGGTCACACTGTCGCTTGTGAATATTGTTCTTGATATACGTATCCACAATTTTTTTTTGTTAATTTATGTGGCTTTTTAAATTACATATTTTTAATTAAATTTCTATTTTTAGTCATAACATTTTTGCTTCGCCAATTGAAAAAAATAATTGCTTTGTCCCTGAAACTTATCTTAAGTCATTTTTACTAACCACAACTAAACCATTGAATTTTTTATATGTAGAATTTTAACAAATTGTAATATTATCTTAGTGCGTGATAATACCTATAACTATATCAATGTTAAAAAGAAATTCTAAAGAATAATAAATGTCTTCGAAAGTAATAATAATAACACCCTAAATATTGTTTGGTGCAAATAGGCGGTTTATCCTTCCCAGTTAAAGAAAGTAGCTTCCATCCAAATGACAATTTTTTAGAACATTTATTTATTATTGTATTGAAATGTTATTTAGGGTTAAAAAATTTAACTCGAATATTTTTTTAACATTTTTTACGGCTAAAGAAGAGATTTTATACTAATTACTATGAGTTCATCTGTGCCTTGTGATTATTTCATAAAAATTTATACTAACATACACAATAGAATGTTCATTATTATATTACTATGATCGCCTATTAAAGGTAAAAGAAACTTAAATTTTTTTGGAATCTATGTTCACAAAAATGTGGGGCTCCAGACATATGCCCTTAAAACCCTGAGACAAACTCACACATCGTAATTTGTTACATTGTTATTATTTACACTCGATTTCTTCTTTTGACTATGGATTATTAAATTAAATTCCGGTTTCAGCAAAAACTTTATGTCCGTCCCCACTGAAATACCCGGACTTGTTAAAAGAGTAGGGGAGAATAGCAAAGAGACAGTTACCTAAAGACGCGCTTGTTTGCTTTACTCGTGATAATCGTACAGCAAACGTGCGATCGAACAACCGATTGCTTGGTAAATTTTTCGGTCTAATTAGTTTGAACTAATTGTATGTAAAAAACACAAGTGTTTGAGAACTGTTCACGTAGTATTACTGTTTAAGTCGGATAAGCAACAAATCTTATAAAGCGATTGGCGATTAGTAAATAGATATCTAATCGGTGAGTATCAATTCTATAGTTATTTATTAGTAATTTTAAAGTGGCTTATTTAACATTTATAAGTATGACGGATATCTAACTGAAGTTGAACATCCATGCATCTTTATAAGAAATTCTTCTTGAATATTAGTAAGAGACGTTGTTTATGGTCTTCAGATTCGTACAGTATTGTTAAGTAAAAACTTCTTAAGAAATTTTCTGTAGTCTGTGATATTTGAAGATATCAACCAATCATCTAATATTGAGTTGAATATTGTTTTGAAAATAATCATATAATTTTTTTGTACATTCATACTTCAATTTACTCGAGTTATTTATTTTATGTTTGTTTTTTAATGCTTTCTAAAACACCAAATTGATTTCATAAGGCAATGTTTCTTTTTGTTTACTTATCACATTTTTTTAGATATTTTTTTTCAAAATTAAGTAAAATGAATATTTCGAATTTTATTTGAGTATTTCTAAATTTTATATGTATAGATAATAAAAACTTTTACATTTTATTCTAAGACAGAGTCACGAACTTTTACAATTATCTTTTGGGTAGAAAAAGAAACCTGTAAAAAACTATTATATTTATGTTAGAATTTATTCTTAAATAGTAGATTAGTTATTGAACATTTCGCTTATTTATTTGTAATAAGTAAGGAAGTACGGTATTAATTTATTAAAAAATTGATTTGCGATAAAATAAATATGGGGAGAAAATTTTACGAGCAGAATAGAATGAAGTGTCACATATATTTTGGTCTAGGCCTTGAAATTGTCCAACATCATAAGAGATACTAGGCGAGTTGAATATATAAACGCAAATAAATCGAACGTTCTGTAGCTACTCTTGTGTTGAAATGTGTCTATCACAGTTATAAACATAACCGCTATCTTCAAATCGATTGCTGTACATAATAAAATAATATATTGACCATGGTCCACTAATTAAACGTTTATTATTACACTGTTTTGAAATCGTGATTGAAATTTTTAAGAATAACATCTCATATTACTAAACCATAAATTTGTTTCGGTCAATATAATACAACAACTATTCACCCCAATAATAAGATTTTGCAATACATTAATTAGTCATAGAATAATAATACCAAAATATTTAAATTCTTGTCTCTGAAAAAAGTGTATTAGTACATTTTGTGAAATATAAATAAATAAATTATTTTCATAAAAAATATTTTAAATATAAAATAAACTTTTTGAAAAATACTAAAGTAAAAATGAAAATATTCAATATTCTTCAATCATAAAAAACGAGAATTCAGTTATAATAAGTTTAAATGTATCAGTTTTATTTACACTTAAGACGATATATGTCTTGTTTTTAAATTATCAATTTTATACTGTAAACAAACAGTTATGCGTGTAATGTTGATAACCTTGACTTGTCAATAAATAATATTTAATTCGATGTATTTAAGTTAAGTACTTATCATAGATTACTTAATTAAATTAATTAAATTTATTATGAATCGTATTCAGTAATATTATAAGACTACATTTATATCACAAGTTTTAAAGAAATGTTATAATTATTTTTCTTAAAGATATATTTCGTTATTATCACCAAGATTGTTACTTCTAGAGTTGCACAAGGATGCGGTGTACGTCTCACGTGCGTCACGTTACCAAGGGATCTTTCCAACTTCAACTCCCTCCCTTCTTACACAAGGAAAACCCGCGAAACCTAGTTCCGGTACTGGTTACTTCTTTAACTTGTTTTTACTTTCAATGTCAACTTGGTTCAAGATATTTGTCTAGTAAACCTAACAATTGTATGAAAATATATTTACCTTTAATTTAACTGGTTTTCAAGATTAAACAATGTTCAAAATTTACCAACAATTTATCGGTTTAGTATATTAACTGCGACTCGCAAAAGTTATGATATATATATATATATAATTATTATAATTAGTAATAATTATTTTTGATGTTGAATCGTTCATTGCTCGAATATTAGTAAATAATTAAACTGATTGGTATTGCCATATTTTATAATTGGCCACTGGAATTTCCCTTATATCATAACTTCATATCCTAAAAGATATAGACGAGCAGATCGATTTCTTTGGAAATGTACACACTTGCGCTAGTTAAATGTACATGTTCTATGCGAACAATGTATTAAGATTTATTAGTTTCTTCTCTTATTATTTTTCTTAATACCATGAAATATTGTTACCACATTTATCCAAGTGTAGTTTGTAAAAGAAATCTTTCGGGCTATCATTTAACTAAAAATTAATTGATAAATTACAACAAATCAATCAATGCCACTACATCATTCACCACTTTATAAATAATTGTTTTTAAACTCGCGATATAATTGAGTAAAACTAGTAAAAATAAACAAGGGTGTACCCGAGAGAAGAGTACTGAAGTTGAAACCAAAAATTTACTGTGTTAATAATATAATTTGGAGGGGAAAATACATTTTTTTTCGTGAGATCTAATAAATCCTTAAGACGACTCTAATGATAACCCTTGAAAGTTGTTACAGTAGTTACTACACTTAAACTGGCAGTACATAGCTTTCCAATTACGTTTACTAAATTTTGATAAGCAGAAGTGAATTCAGTGAGTATTGCAGCATCCCCGTAATACACGTCAATTGTATAGAAAACAAAGTGAATTGAATAGAAATATTTGATTGAGTTGCATCTCGAAAATTTATTATTTTTAATTTCTCATAAAAGTTTTTTAACTTACCTCGTTAACAAATCTAAAATATAAACTTATCTACATTATCCAATCTATGATCAAGAATAGTATTATCACGCATTTGTTATATCAAACTTATATTAAGTATTCTGCAATAATCAATTTACAATAAACCATTTAGTTTTTGTACCTTTTGAGATCCAACTGTGTTATGAAATACTGTCATACAAAAGATAATAGTATTGAGCATATTTATTATATATCAAAACAATTAAATAAAAAGATTTTTATTCGCATAACTTTTAAATTATGTACATTAAGCCAAAACTGTAACAACTTCAATAAGAATGTAGACTAATTTAACGAAAAAGTTTAGTGGTTTCTAATTTAAACGTGAATTGTCAATGTCATAAAAATAGATAAGATTTAAAAATATGTATTATATGATTAAATTAAAACATTTTCTCGGGTTATTTCATAAAAACTTGTCCAGCTATTTCAACTAATTTGCTCTTTCAAGTGAACTATTTATTGCAAGAAATGATTACTTTCATTTCGAGTGAAAAATTTCATTTAAATGAAAATCTGTTATTATATTTTAAGAATACATTATAAAAGTCAATGACTTTTTATAAATATATGCTTTGACTGGTACCGTGCGGTTTGGCAAGTAGCAAAAAATATTGGTATTAGCATATACCCAAGTCTGGAGGAGCGATGAATGGTACAGTTTCCTCAAGGTCGTGCTTTAATATTGCATTGCAGAGTCCACCTTGACCTAATACGTGGAGTCCAAATCAATTCAAAGTCGCTTGCGCCATCAATGATGGAATTGCTACGACGAAATATAATCTATTTTACTTACAAGTGTTATGGTACATTGTAGAAATTGTTATTAATAGCCACCAGCAGGCTGATTAGAATCACTGACACCTTAAAATGAGTGGTTTCACAGAGATTATGAAATTAATTACACCAATGAAAATTGTATCCATCAAATTGTTTATGTTTGTAAATAAATAAACTATTCAAAAGTCGTTGGCCTCTGAGTTAACAATAACAGCTCATAATTGTACAATAAATGAATACAATAATTGACCATAGAGCTAGTGGCGGCGTTCTCAGGGTTTCGTTTCAAAAATAGACCAATTAAGCATAAAAATAAGTGTTAATCTTCAATAAATAAAATATTTTTATTCTATTATCGGTTAAAAATATGTGTTAACGAAAGCGCTGTAAAATATGAAAAATAATGTTTGTCAAGTCTATAGTTGGAATCCAAATAGTATGAGACTAGTTGATTTAGCATCGTTCATCTTCAAAGCGAAAACTTTTCAAATATCCTTCCTAGAAAATAAAAACAAGTGAATAAAATATTTTATAAGGAATAAATACGTAGATATTTTAAAACTGAAGAACATATAAACGAAAAACCAGAAATAGGAAAGCCTTGGCAGTTATAATAAAATATGTCAATCTAGGTAAAAAAAATATGTCATAAAATCTCGTCTAACCGATTTATCGATAAATAATATGTCCCCGAGCACAAACCAATGTTAGTGAACATAATAATAAATAATTATACATTTACGTAATATGACTGTAATATCAATATATTAATATTTACATTAAATGTTAAATATAGATCTGTAAACATTTGAGTAAATGTATTTAAATACTTTAACAAATATTTATTATTGAGGAATGCGTTAAAGCTACCATGGACTGCTGCGTTTTTTAAATATTTACTATTTTTTTAATAATTAAAAGAGAATATAGATTTCCAAAAATATTCTATTTACTTTTGTTTGTTATGTAGTATTATTTTATTTTAAATATTTTCAAAATTACCCAGTTTATAAAAAATTTAAATGTAGAAAAAAATTGTTTATAAGAATAATTTTTGACATTTTAATTGAGTTTTATCGAGTAATAGTTTTGACATTTTATATAGTTAAAATAAGGGATTTCAATCAAGCTTCCCATATTACTAAATTTTTATTAACATAATACACCATTCTAGACTTACGCATGCATGAAACACAAATTTTTCATCTAATGAACAAATATTTAAGTGTTGATGGATCAACCAAAAGGACTTCTATGACCAACAATAGTTTATTATAGTACCGATTTAAATGTAAAACAATTTAACTAGGCAATATATTTTTTTTTCAGTAAATTCAAAACATCAATCTTCTTCTTCTTCTTCCTCGCCTTAATCCCAACTACTTATCCTAAACTTCCACTTGACACGATCTCCCACATCATTTACGCTCACATCAGCTGTCCTCAAATCGCATTCAATAGCATCCCTCCATCTCTTTTTTGGTCTTCCTCTACCTCTACTTCCTTCAACATTAATTTCTATAACTGAAATTCAAACTAAGTTCAAAACATAAATGCAAAACAAAATTTTATAAAAGTCTAATTTACCTACCTAACTGAATCAGTAACAGGTCGTGTTTCGATACGAAGGTGCCGGGTTGGAATTCGTAGGTTTTACCTCACTCTCTGACATAAGCAATAGCTTTTAAATTTAGCGTTTTATACAATCATAAAAAATAATAAACAATTAAATCAAATCCCTTTCGAAAAAAATTTTTGATTGGTGATTTTTTTGTTTCCGAGGAGATTATTACTAAGATTGTAAGCTTAGTTTCATACATGCAACCGCCCCTATCGTACCGGCAGTTGTAAAGAAAAAAATATTTCAAATACATTTAAATAAAATTATTTAAGTAGTATTTTAAATAATTTTTTAAAAAAAGTATTTGAATAGTATAAAGCAATAAAAACTCTTACAGATATTATACAAATTTATATTTGTTTTGATGGAAACTATATTAAATGTTAACTCTAAACATAATATTTTTAATAAGATAATGTCATATTATAAATGTCCTATAAAAAAAATTTTTAGAAGGTACTTAAAGTACTTAAATATTAGAAAGAAAGTAAGTTATTCTGCATATCTCAAGTTAACCACTGGTTTACTTCCGAAATGAAACTTCATACCGTTTTTTATCTTATACAAACAACAAAGTAATGAATATTTAATTTTATTTCACTAATTGCTAAAAAATGTATTGTAAACTTGTTTTTTATTAACGGTGACTGACATTATAAATTTCCCTCGAAGAAATTTGACTTGATAACTCATCAATGCATTTTTATTTGTTTGATATGAATATTTTTAACACATTTTTACTTTTTGTAAATATAATTTCATCATTAATAAAACTCGTTCCGACCGATGTCATATACTATCCTTGGTCAATATACTTGCACGTTCTGTATTTATATGTTGTAACATAAAAAAATTATGCTTTTTTATTTCAGCTGCTGCTTTAATACATTCAAATAAATATTAGATTTCTTTAGTAATTACAAATGAATTTTTATGTGCCGAAAGTGATAATTATATTTTTATTTTGTTAGTGTAAATCTAATAGTGCTACGGCCTACATGAAATTAGCTCGAGGTTCTCTCTTGTCGTTAGACGCAGCTGTTTAAAATCATATCTGCCACAGGTATTTATTATTTGTCATTAATGAGAGTTCAACAGTAGTTTGTTTTTGTTATAATATCTGTGAAATTATAACAGCTTATCATTTAGCACAAATTATTGGTTTTTTTTTTCTGTTTGCGTCACTACCATAGTATGTTCGTTGAATTCAAAAACAGGTGCAAGTGATGTAACTATCGAGTGTCTACCCTAATGCACTCAACGTTCATTAACACAATAATATCCGAGTTTATCCAATATTATCTTAGCGTCTACCTAATTACAAACAAATAACCACATAATTTTGAAAATGATTGCTTATAATGTTGCTCATACACTTGTCCAAAAGTCATGCAAATTAATTAATCTCATTCTATATTAATCGTATTTAATAATAATTTGAATATTTTTTATTCAATGCAGTAGTAAATTACGAGTTATACATAATATTTCAATAGAATATTCTCTAGTACGTTTTGTTTTGTTCTCATAGAACTCGCGTTTAATGTGAATAATTTTTATTT